TTGTATTGAAAACTCATTTTGTAAGTCAGTTTTAGATATTTACCCTTTTATGAACACATTATCTGAAAAGAAATAGGACTGAAACTCAATCCCCATTATAATGTAATCAGAATTACCTCTCACAGTTGAAAAATAGAATACAATGCACACCCTCCAACTTATGTAGAATATATGACTAGCTTAGTGATAGCATCTTGGATTTTCAAAAAGCAATGGCATTCATCTTCCGGGAGACAACTGACTGGAGAGAAAGGGGCTTTATAGACTTTCTCTCCGAAGAAGTTGGTAAAGAATGAGCAAGCACTGTGCCATAAGACAGAGCTAATTTATGACATCAAAGCTATCAATGTATAACATTTTTCTTATCTAAAATTTCTAAAGTGCTTATAACATGTATTGTGATTTCTTTCTCATTTTGATTGACGATTGGGATTTCAACGCCTGAAATTTAAATGACTTAGCTATAAATCATTCTTGAATTTCTAAAATTCAACTGAGAACAAATACCCAACTGAAACCTCTTCTGTATCAAGTGCTTAAGCAAAACAAGCTAGAATTTCCATGGAAACAGCCTGGAATTCTCAAAGGAGAAGAGAGGACAAAAGTAAGCATGAAAATGCATTTACTTATTTTTTGGTTTCTTTTCACCTCTGCCCCTCCAAACCTCAGACTGCCAACTTAATGAATGCTTTCAAGCCTCAGAGGGAATTAAGAAGAACAATATTTGACAGGAGTGAGGAAGCAACTAAATATAGTTCCCCAGTAAGAGAAATGTATTCCATAATCTTCTCTCTTCTTCCTTCCCCTATCTGAGCAATCACTCCATCTTTTGATGTTATTTTTTTGTGTTGCCCTTATTGTACAGTAAGTTTGGCTATTACTTGATTGGGACAGAAAAGAGAGAACACCACAAGATACAATTTTGTCCTCTTTGGAAAAGTCACAACATGAGATACTTGAGACCAATTTCCAAATGAAGATTGTGCGTATTTTCTGTAATTTCCATTTGCCTAATACTTTAGCATTTCTAAAAGGATCTCATGAAATTAATTCATTTAACCAGTATAACCTGAGAGGCAAGTAGAGGAAATGTGTTGGGAGCTATCAACTCACATTTTACCAGGGTAGAGGGGTTCAAGATCACTCTGAAGGGCAGCCAGCTCTTTGAATCTCGGACCCATGGCTTTTCTAACTCTACAAATACAGCGAGCCCTCCTGACCAATGTAAACATTCTGTCCAGGCAACTTTCCCTTCTTTGTTAGGTATTCAGAACTTTCACTTATTTTTAGAAATATATGCTTTAGCTCTATAAAAACTTTCCCCTCTCTACAACTGCTAATACATAGATCAGGAAATACTCAAAGAAAGGTACAGCCTTCTGGCTTTCCTGGGTATGGCTATTTTTGACAAGCTTTCCCCAGAAATGTCCAACCTATTTTTGATTGATAAATCAAGGAATGTTTCATTTTAAAGTTGAGCAATCAATGTACGGCTTATTGGGAACAAAAGTGACCTTGCACAGATCTGAAAAGTTAAATGTAGAACATGTCCTTTGACATAAAATAATCATTGATGCATTGAATGAATTAAATAAATAGCTTAGAAATTATTTTACCAATCCAAGATAATACATTGGGGTACACTAATATCTCTTCCTAGGGAAAAGCTGGTATCATTTTTCTTTGGAAAATTAAAGGCACTTAATATTTGAGATTGTGATGACTCTAAAGATAGTTATCGTAAAGCAGCAAGTGTGATAGAATCTGTTATCAAAACTTTCTGCTGTTTATAAATTTTGAAAACGAATGGACTTAGTAAAAGATGTGTCATGAATTTGGGAAATATTAAGATCAAAAGCAATCATTTCCATAATTAACATAACATGCTATATACACTTTAAAGCAATTAATATGACAGTCATTCAATGTTCTAATACTCACCTTATTAAGTATTGTCATGTCAAAGTGGAAAAAATTAAAAAATGCTAACATCTTACTAGGTGACTTCCTTTTTTGTTAGCTGTCACTGTCAGGCATTCCAACTGCTACTAATGATCATTTACCTAGGGCTGACCCTGTATTTGGCTCTGTGCCAAGTACAGTCAAACCTTCTTTCTTGAATGACTGTCATCTTGGACAATTTGGTTTTTGACCAAGTTGTTCACAGAAAAAATGTCTTGGTTGTCAAGCAAAACTTTGGTTCTTGATGCAACAACCTTTTATGCTGATACCTATATGGTCAGTCATGCATCTCTTGGGTGAGAAAAAAAAGAGAATGTGTGAGTATGAGTCATTTTACTGCTATGTCTCACTTGTTAATATCTCAGGAAATTGTGCTGTGAATATTTTCATGTTTTCTTGCTTTTGTTGCTGCTTATTACTATTAAATTGTGTACAATACGTCACCTTGGATCCTAAGAAGGTTAATGATAGCAGTAAAGTGAAAAGGAAAGTTGTGAGAACAATGATAGAGCTTAAAAAAGAAATAATAGCAAGATATGATAGAGGTGTTCACATGTCTGATAGGGCTACCAAGAATGGCAAGCGAAATTGATGATTAGCACCATTTGAAAATGTAAAGAGGCCATCAAGAGTGATGATGTGGCTAAGGGTGTAAAAATGCTCATGCAACAACCATCAGCCAACTGAGAAAGGTTAAAATAGGGTATCATTTGGGGGTCTGGAATAGATTAATTCAATTTATTGATACATTATTTCTAATGGGGGGGAAATGATTTGGTTTTCGAACATATCACTTCTCAAACAGCCTTCAGGAACTTGTAGTTGATATAATCTATTTAATATTCAAATAAACATCTGAGACAGGTATTACTTCCAATATTATTGATAAGAAATAAAAACCTCATCCAAAAAACAAATTACAAAAAGCAATTTGTTCCACTCTGGCTGGGTAGGTCAGTTGGTTAGTGTCATCACAATACTCCAAGGTTGCAGTTTAGATTCCCCATCAGGGCACACACAAGAATCAGCCAATGAATGCATAAATAAGTGGAACAACAAATCTATGTTTCTCTCTTTCTCTCTCCCTCCCTTCCTCTCTCTCTCTAAAAAATCAATCAATTACCACAGGACTTGTATGCATGCATATAAGCATAGCCATGGATACAAGACAGTAGGGGTGAGGGTATGTGTTGGGGGTGGGGGTGGTGGGAAAGGCTGAGGAGAGCCCAATGGGGGGGAAAAAGGGACATATGTAATACTTTAATAAAGAATTGAAATTTTAAAAATCAATCCATTAATCAATCAGTTTTTAAAAAGAAAAGCAACTGGTTCTATTCACATTGCTAGAAAGTGGTTTGACCTAATGCCAAGCCTCAGTTTCCCCGCTCCCTGCAACACTGTGCTCCCTCCATGGCCCTTGCAGCAACCTTCCATTAACCAAAAGCAGCAGTGACACCAATAGTCTTTGAGAGTTTGCTGCTGGGGAAGGACCTTATGTCATTTGCTACATATAAAGTATGTACGTGAGTTCATAAAATTTGCTTAAAAGGTATAAAAATGGGGTGTCCGGGAAGTTTTCTGTTCACTGTAATGGTTACATATAAATCATGGCCATTAATTCTAATTAAAAGGAGAAATCATTCCACCTTTATAATAAAATTAGAAACAATCAATGCTACAGGAGTTTTTAAAAATTATATTTAATACAAGTGAATAGATGAGAAGATCTGAAATGTTATAAAGCAATGTACACAATGAATAAATAATCTGCACAGGAGAGTCATGTCTACATTACATAACACTGTCTAGAATGGGAATACTTAAAGTAAATCCAGTGGTAATGGAGAAAGTCCATAAAAATGCTAACCTGTCTTCCCTTGTATGAAATTGTTCAAGTATAAAAATCCAATACAGTGTAAAATAGTATTCAATTTAGCTTAAGAATAAAAATTGCAAGTATTGCAGTTTCAGAAGAAAAATGTAAAGCAGCATTTAAAAACTACATAAACTACATGAGAATAGTGTTAAACTAATGAAGTACCAATAAATGAGATCTACACTAGCAAAACTTAGAGAAGGAAGCATGAAACTAGCAATATAGCCTGTTGGTTAAAACCTAAAAACTAAAATGTGTTCATGTAAGAGTACTCTCTCATACAGTGCACATATGAATTTAAATAAATCCAAGTCAACATCTTTAGCTGAATAGGTTAATATTTAATATGCTACATCTAGACCTACTAAATAATTTATGCCATGAGATGAATACATAATTTTACAGTGTCACATCTAAAGTTCCTTCCTTTAGAGTGCAGCATAGTAAAACTTAAAAATAAATATCTTAAATAGCATTACTATTAAGGCACAGTATAAACCACATTATCATTAACCTCTGAAGAACTGTAATCTCAGTAACTTGGTTGTCTCATGTACTGTATTCACTAATAAATAGTTTTAAATAGGACTCTGAAATAGATACTAAAAAGTGTAAAATTATTCAAAAAGGGAAAAAAAATAAATGCCCTTAAGACAATTCTTAAGAGTTTAGAGTCTGCAAACTTTGCCTGCCTTTAATCGTAAGCCACGAGTCGACACAATAAATAGAAAGAGAAGGCTGTTGTAGTAAAAGCCTGATCCTATTTCAGAATCAGAATTGCTGACACCAGCAGATACAAGTTTCCCAAAATTGAAACAGGATGGGGAGAGGGATTAGAATGTGACAAGCTCATCAAACAAGCACAAGTGATGTGTTCTTTCCAGAACTGTGCGTGTTACTGATTGTCTGTACAGCTGTTGCACCCATTAATTCCACATCACTTGCTCCACAGTCCCGCTCATCCACAGGATGGATGAGAAAACAGCTTTGGTGCCTGTCCACCATTTCACCCACTGCCACGCTCCTAGAGTGATTGTTCGATGCCCATTTTTGAGAGAGTAAGAACAGTACCTTCTTACTTGAAAAAGTTCTATAGGCCATAGCAACTTAAAAATGACAATCAGTGCTTTCACCATTTTGTTTTTCTAAAAAATAAAATTAAAAAAAAATCTGCTTTTAAATGAAATTCAAGCTATGTATTGCTCACTCTGTATTCCCTGGTTCAACAAGATTCAAATAGCATCTTCTAACTTGTAAAAGGCAGTTTGCTTCCCTGATACTATAAAAAGAGCAAAAATAAAAATCCCATTATAAAAATGAAGTTCCATTTGTTACTTCTGCCATCACTTCCTAGTGGCCTTTCATTTCCTCAGGCTCTTTGGGATTGGTTTCCAAAACTGCGCCCACTCCCCCATCTCTCTCTCTCTCACCTCTTTCTCATCTAGAACACTACTGGAGTATAAAAATAACAATAGTTCTGCTTCACAAAGCATAGCTTTTTTTTTTTTTTTAAAGCTGTTAATGTTAACTCTTATTAGCTACTAAAAATTGGGGAACTGGGAGGGAAAGAGAAAACAATTCAACTTTGATCAGATGGCTGGTCTATTGCATTCGGTCTGTTTGCAGCTGCTGAGGCTGATACTGGCCAAAGGCTGCTGCGGCGGCAGCTGCTGCAGCGGCGGCGGCAGCTGTCCCAGGTGCGGCGGCGGTGATTGGCTGCTGCACCGCGTAGCCGTAGCCCCCGGCGGTGACGTAGCCTGCAGCAGCTGGAGAGGCTGCGTAGGGGTACTGGTCATAGGCGGCGGCGGCGGCAGCGGCGGCAGCTGCGGCAGAGTATTGTGCATACGCAGCTCCAGTGTAATCAATGTAAGGTGTGGTGGAGGCGGCGGCTGCAGTCGGCTGGACGTGTGGAATGACCACTCCAGGCTGCACAAAGGCCTGTGGATACACGTAGTGGGCCGGTATCCTGTTGAGAAATGGAAAACAAAGTCAAGCAGTAGCCTCCTCTCGGTAGCATTTCTTGTTCAGAAATACAACAAACTCAAATTTAGTGGTTATTATGAGCATAGGGTTGCCACAATATCTGCTTTCCAGGGGTTGTCAAAGTCCCCTGGCGGTAGCCAAAGCCAGGGAGTGCCCCCAAAGGAATTCAACTATCAGAATATGATGGTACCCTCTCTGCTAATGTTTTTGTTTACAATCATTTAGATCCAATAAATATCATTTAGCAAAAGTTTGGAAAATAAATCAAGGTTCATGAGGGCTGTGCACATAAGAGGCATTTAATCAATGCTTAATTGATTAAGACTTGAGAAAATTGTCATGAGTTCACAAACAAAACCGTTTGGCAAATAGAAAAATTCTGAGCTGTGAACACAGGGCTCCAAAGGTGATCCATGACCATTCAGTTCCAATGGGGGGGGGGGGGGTGATGGCTGGTTCGTCAAAACAAAAATTTCAACAAAATCTGTATGTTTATTATCATGGCAACCCTATTTCAAATTGCTATGCAGACTCAGCACACATTAATCTCTCTGCAACCTCAGTCACCCTTATTAAAAATAATAATAAAAAAGAAGCAGGCGACAAAATAAAAAAGGAGTTTAAAAGTTCACAAGTGTGGTAAACACAGCAGAATCACACTTCTCAAACGAACTGTAGTGCAGCTCACTCTATCACAAGAGGCTGTTGTGGGAAGCTACAGAAATGCTATTAACATTCATGGCAGTGATCTGAAAGAGAGGTGCAGCACGCTTTTTGTCGTTCTTTCTTTCTTTCTCTCCATAAAATTCATAAGGACACAAGGGTCAATCAAACCTGTTTGACTATCAGGCAACTGAAGGTCAGCCAGCTTGTTTATCTCTATGCAAGACAGACAGAAGGGATTTTGGGGAAATGATGAGGTTGAGGGAAAAGGCAGGGACAGGGAAATACAACTAAATATTTCCAAAATTAATAAAACTTAAAAGGTTTACACAATAGAGTAAGGAAACATTTTTTTTTTTTTGCACATGTACTAGCTTTTGTTTTATTCTCCAAATCAACAGAAATAGATTTGTTAGCATATCTGCCTATAAGTCGATATTTTATATGAATCAATTCTATTGTTATATATTATCCTGCAAAAGTTCAAGAAAGTGAAATACAATCAAATACCTTTTAAAATTATACATTGAGATCACATACATAGCACACTCCAATGAATTAACTTAAACATTCATTTAAAAAAAAATTTAAACCACAAGAGATATTTCTAAAAACCCATGCATCTCCGTTCTCACTCTTGGGATTCATTACTGCCCATTTAAAATACTACCATGAACATCTGGTTTATTTCAGCTTTCTTTAAAATAATCTCCAACAAAACCCCTTATGCTTCTAAAAATATGTCACTATAATGCCATCTGGATGCTGGCAAAGTCAACTTATGAGAAGTACAAATAACAGTCTTCACATTTTAAAGAACTCAAAGCAGAAAAATTCATGTTTAGATGTTCAAAAACAGATTTTTCTTTGCCTCTTCAGAGCTTTACTGAAAACACTCATTAACAAACATCCATGGAAAAGATGAATTTATCACAGAGGGTACTGAACTTTGACCCCAATGATAAAAATACACTCAAATTTACTAGACTTGTAGATCTTTCCCAGTGCCAGGAGAAACCACGTCATCAAGGGTTTTTTCAGGACACTCAACGATGTTCTGAATTGCTTGTCAGAAACCAGACGCACGGTCATGCACACACTTAAAACGCCTCTGCAGGTCGGGTGATTGGTTCCTTCACAGCGACAGGTGTGGCTTTATAAAACACTGTCCCTGGAGGCCACCATGTCCACAAGGTGCGGACATGGCTAAGAGAGCCCACACTCATGCCAGTTTACACATGGTGATGGACAGCAGGGGCTGCAGCTGGGCTATTTTTGATCCTGTCATGCGACAAGGGTTTCCAGTGGGTAAAATGTCTTTATAAGGCCAAAGTAAAACATCTATCAGCTGCAAAGGCCAGCCAGTATGAAGCTCACTGATATGGAAACATTAACCCCTGGACTCCCAAAGTTTTAAAGACAACATAATATGATGGTTGCTAGGTCTGTATCTTCAAGTAAAGGTGTTAACTGAAAATAGCTATAGCCTACAGCAAAGAGAATAAAATTGTGTCTGTGTGCATAGGTATGAAGAATGCAATAAAAGATAAGCAGGGTTTCTTACAGTACTCTCCTCTCTACATTTATTTTACATCAACAGTTTTTATTTGATAATGTGCTTATGAGAGCACAAAGTTCCTTGGAATGTCAGAATCCTACATGAAGTCTGGCTAGGAAGATGTCTGGAAGACAAATGAAACCCTGGAGTCCTTTAAGACTCAGAGAAAGGAGAATCCAGAAGACAATGGAGAGTCTAAAATATCTGAGTTCAGGAAGGAAGGCAAAAATGGACTAAAACATAAGGTAAGACTTCTGAAAAAAATCCCCATATTACAAGTTCTTGTCATAGTTTAGGGAACTCAGTAAGGCAATTAGAGAATCTCCCTCCTACTAAATATCTATCAACATACTTTCCCTCAATTAATCACAGAATGTACAAACCTAGCAGTTACAAAAGCACAAGAACACAGCAGAATACTTTGAAAGAAATTTTACTATTGTTTTCCTTTCCTTCTTATCTCTTCAGGTCCCTCGGTGACTTTTGACATCCTAACTGGTTTCCTTTTTCCAATGTATCACAAAACTACAAAGTCTTCACCTCATTTGCTTGCTCTAGTAATCTATGGCCCCTGACATCATTCCTAAGCACAAATCTCTTAAACTTTGTTATGCTAGACCTTTAATAATTCTGGCTACAAACGACTTCCCTCAGGATTACTTTCCACCTTCCCCCTAACCCAAATCAGCTGGGCTCCTCAATGTTTCCACGTCACACCACACATTCCTAGGCACTCTCCTTTGTTCATGCCATCCTTCTGTCTGCAGTGCCAATCCTCACTCCATCTCTACTGGTTGAAAACCAAATCCAATCTGCCCTAGTTCCTGCACTCTGTGCAGAGTGTTCAGGAACTCGCTTCAACCTTTTAAAACCTTTTAATCTCCTATTCTTCTATATGTGAAATGAACCCAATATTTTCAACTTGAATTGCTGTGCACAAAATAAGATTATGCAAAGAGCCTACAATGATGAAGATAGCTAAGTACTCAATGCAAGAGTTCCTCATCATCTACCACCCTTTGAAGTCTAGGTCAACTACTACCTCCTTTCTGGATCCCACCAACCTGATGTCTTTCTCCCTTATCTGAAGAAGCAGGAACAGCCATTCTGGGTGCTTGTAAGTTTTCCTATTAGATTACAAGAGAGAATAAAGTTGGGTCTTATTGGTTACAACTTGATACAGAAGAAAGAACATGGCTTTTGAAAGGTCGGGGAAACCTAGAGTCAGACTCTATCACTTGCTAGCCCTGGCAAGTTAATTCACATCTCTTCATCTCAGTTTTATCACCTAATGGGGAAGGACATTAACAGTGCCTTCATCACATAATTAGTGTGAGAATTAAACTATATAATTTATTTAAATCCCTTATCAGTTCTAGGCATGTAGCAGATACTCAGTTAATGTTTGCTATTGTTCCTCCTGCTCCTTTTAGTGGAGACTATAATATCCAGTATGGTGTTAACACAACTAGCTTAAAATGAAATACTTAAAGGTATATTGAGTAAATGTTTAAGTATATTTCAGCCTGGCTAAACTAGCCTAGAAATTTCTACTCACAGATCTGTATTCTCTCTTCTCCAAGGTTTCAATAAGAAAATGCTCCTTTCGAACATAAAATATTTACAATATTTTGTTGAGAAAATTTACAAGTTTCTATACATGTACCCACTGTGTTACATCATAAATTCTTTAGACCAAGGTTTTCTCTTTAAAGGCCCAGAGTAATTTGGGGACCACTTAAGGATTACAATTAGGAAGAAATAGTTCAGTTACTAAACTTCAAATAAGTCAAATCAAATAAAAAATTCTCAAGCATCTTTCCAGGCCTAAAGTAAGAATGTGTAGCATTCAAATAGAATTTAGGATGACCAGGTGTGATTTGTTAGGTACAGACTCTGGGACTCAGAGCAGTGTTGAGAACTCCTTAAAAAAGAGACGGCTGGCTTGGTTCATCTGGAATGCTATCTATTTTTAATAAGAATCTCAAGTTCAAACAATTTATGCAAACAGTAATCATCACCATCCTTTATAAAGACAGCTAATATTAAAAGAGATGAAAAACAAAAGGTTACTATCCAAACATGCTTGATCTAAAACTTCCAGGTGATACAATGTACTCTGGTTGCTCCTAGGTTCTCCTCATGCTGCTTTCTTAAGGGACTGTAAGGACTCTGACAACCAGTCTAGATTTCCATATCTATTGTAGTTCTCAAGACATAGACATTCTTCATGCTGAGCCTTTTCTCTGTGCCTTTGCTTATCCTCACCTCATCCTGTACCCTCGAGACAGGTCCATTTTTCCTTTTACCTGTCTATGATATAGCCATTGGTTCAAGTCTAGTTCAAGTCCGCACAAAGCCTAGTTCAAACTTTTCCAATCACCCATTTTCTTGCTATTCTGAATTCCTTTTGTACTGAAAACAATACCAAGTATCTTAGCAACCAAGTTCCCGATTGGTTTGTTTTAGTTCTCAAACTAAAGTGCAATGTCCTTATTTTATATCACCCCTAGTACAGAGAAAAAAACACACATACTAATACCTGTTGATCGATTCAGTTGTATTAACTGTTTCAAGATTATTAGTGTGAGATCATGACTAAGTTCACCATCACTTCCTAAGATGAACGTTTTCCTTTCCAATCCCTCCTTCAACATAGTCTAGACTAATAAAGGAGGGGCCCTCACACAAGTAGTTGAACCAATAAACCCACTAATTAAGTAGTTGAACCAATAAACCCAGGATGGTTTGGATGGGGCATTGATAAATAACTATGAATATGAAGGTTCTTTTTAATGATATTGGACAGAAGACTCTATCACTGTTTAAAAAAAAAGTAACCGTTGCCAGTAAGGGTGAAGTATTGATATGTTAAAGGGAGGGTTCTAAGAAGGTATTCATGAAAGATATAAATTGACTCTTCAAAAAAATCATTACTTTTTAAGGGTGTCTATTCTTAGAGACACATAAGGTAGATATCTATCTGAGCAGAATCTAACCTTCCATGCTACATACACTTAGAGATGTTTAGATGTTAAGGCTAAGGTGTTGCCGAGGATAAAGCACTTCTTGAACAAGTTAAAATATCTGAAAAGAAGCTTAAATCTCTGACATTAGAGTTATAGCAATATCGATCATGTAGAGTACAGCCAAACAGACTCTAAGTGTTCAGGATAAATTTAGGTGTTAGGGGATCTCCCACCCATATCATGTCTGAATGTAAAGAAAAGAAGAGAGCGCAAGTAAGGAAAGCTGATGATCACAAATATGAACAGAGGTAACACAAATATGCGCAGGCTGTTCATAACCTGAGTTAGGGCTGAAAGGTGAAAGTTAGTGCTACTCTACTGAAAAATTTGACCAGTGTTAACAAATCTGATGAGAGTTGCAGAACCTTTAATTAGAAGGCCTAAAAGTGGATTCACATTGCAAAAGAGCCCCATTCCCAGAAAACTCCCCAGTGAAACAGAAACTTAGGACATGCAAGCAATGTATCTGTATTCTTACAGAGGGAAATCACACGATTTAGCACTCACTACAAAGTATGGTTAAGTGGAAGTCACAGGCTACAGCTTAAAAGCAAGAAAAATAAAAGAGGCCCTTTGCTTCCCATGGCAAAGTCAAAAGTCAACACTCCTCAACACCACCACCAAAACCAAAACACAAAGAGCCCCTTCCCCAAGGAAAAGAAAACACTTTCACTACAGCTCTTTTCAATTAAGTAAAAAGCACACAGTTTAGCTATCAACACCACTTCATTACTGTAATAAATAAAATAAAGCACACGGAGGTCTATTGACTATTGTGAAAAGTAAAACAACAACACCAACATCCATGCATCGTTAATCACCATCTGAGCTTGTGTGTCTGAGTCTACTGGGTACAGTTTAATTCCAAACAGAACTATTCCACCTCTTATCATGGTATCCTTCTGATCAGTTAGCTTAACTGTATACGAGCCCTGTCAGGTTAGAAAGAGATAAATACAATTGAGTCAAGTTGAACAGTAGTAATGGTGCTGGGGCACAACGGTCTGATACACAAGTCATACCTGGTATTTTTGTTTTGTTTTGTTAATCATAAGCTCAAAATTTGTCTGGTTTGGAGGCTGCATATGTAGTCAGATAACTTGACTCATCTAAAAATATTTATGCTATCAGCATTACGAATACACAAACATATATAAACATGGATAACCAGGAACATTCTGTGGCATGATGGTCTTGTCTGTATATAAGAAGCAGGTTAACAAATGATAGCAGTTGAAAGTTAGGAGGGCTGGGCTAATGGACTTACCCAAAAGGTCTTTGTATAAGGGCTGGATGAAGTTGCTGAACACCAAAGGCAAAACCTAACAACAAAACATACCACATTCTCTATTTGTGCATGGTTAGACATTTACAACTTCTACATATAAAGAGCAATCTCAATTTTCATTCATCTTAGAAAAGATAACCATCCTTTTAATACTTTAGAGAAAATATTAGATATATATATTTAAAAGCTAGTTTTCTTAATGCTATTGTTGATTCAAATAAAAATTGTAATATAAGTGGAAACTAAAAAATTATCTACCGAGTTTAGTTGACATAGAATAAGACCTTAGAAAATTAGTCCAGGGAAAAATTCTCATGGAATAAAAGCCACAATAGGATTTGATAATGAACTTACATGTAGCAAATATCCCTATGATTCTGAATAATGATCTACACAAATTCTTTGTAATTTGGAGCACTCTAGAATGCTTTTGAACAATGCTTTGGAAGATTATGGTTTTTAGAGATTATAGTATAAAAATTCACCAAAACAAACTGTTCCTTCTTCTCTGAATAGTATATACACTCGATGTATTAGACGAATACATGTTTTTTACTGTTCATAGGTATTCGCTCATGCACCCACTTTCTTGACAACCTAGTTTCCTAGTAAATCTGTTTGGATGGAAGGCTCAATCTCCAAAATTTCAAGAAAAGATCACATCTGTTCAACAGTCAACTCTCAATTATCTGTGCTAATGCAAAGGGCAGTGTTATAAATGCAAAAGGCCATGTTTTCACATAGACAAAACCGTGTTCCCTCTTGGCGATTAATAGCTGTGACTTTGGAGTAAATCATTTCTCATCTCTATCAGTTTCTCAGTTTTTTCATCTGTAATATGAGGGTACTGGAGTATGAAATCTATTTTAACTACTAATGTTGTGTGACTTTATGTTAAACATTATCATCCAGACACCTCCACCCTCACCCCTATGCTTTTCTTGGGTCAGTGTTCAAGTCTGAGTGTCTGCTTTGAGCCCAGGGCAACTGTGGTAGAAGGAGAGCGAACACTGGGTTAGGAACTATAACCAGCTAGAACTGACAAATTTGGCCCATATAATCCACATCTGAGTTATCTACAAGTGTCTAAAAACTCAAAAATGGAGAGTGGACTATGACTACTGAATACAGGTGAGTTGTGTCCAAGTCTGGGTGTGTAAGACCCCAAGATCTATGTTTGTACACAAGTCCTAAAAGGAGTGGACACAACTCTCCTTTATTTATCTTTAATGCCTTGGTAGAATCACCAGCCATGGTTTAACTTTACTAAATGCATCTACAGGTTCTCATGGCAGAACCACCAGACATGGTTTAACTTTACTAAATACATCTACCAATGTTCTAAGTTGAGGATTCAATCTATGCAAGCAGTGGGGCATCTCTAGTGCAGAAGGGGAGGTAGGTACAAAGGGACCCTTGTTTCTCACCTGGTTGCATGATCCTTGGTTTTGCTCCCAAGTATGCCAGGTTCACATTGGCCTTCCTGCCATCAATTATGGGGTTGGGATCCTTGCAGGCTCTTTCTGCAGCAGCCCGGTCAGCCATGGTGACCTTAGCAACATACACACACAGACATACATACAAAGCTCTAAATCAACCCTTGAAGGAAACCAGAATCGCACTGGAAATATCATTTATGATAAAACTAAATGGGGGGGGGGGGGAGGGTGTCCTTAAACTTTTTCTTCTTTTTCTTCCTGGAACTTACTCCTTGATATCCCATCCAAAAAGAAAAGGGAAGAAATCAGAAAGGAAGAAATACCACCCGACCACCCACACACACACACACACACACACACACACACACACACACACACGCTCCAAAGTCTTAAGGGTGTTAGCAGGGCCTAGCAAAAAATTGGAAGCCTGAATTCTGTCTTAGAATTCCTCTAGGTTCTCTTCACCCCGCCTCCGAAGCCCCCAGGTTTCCACTGGACCTGAGGCACTGTTTTCTTTAAAAAAAGAAGTCCAGCCTCACATCCGCCTGCGCTCCAACCAGCCACCCGCAAACGCTCCCCAACGACAATAGCTATTGTCCTACCCCGGAGCTCCCTGCTCTGGGGCAGCTCAATCTGCACGCTGCCATTCCCAGAAAGCTTAATATGCTCTATTTCAGTTCTGCAAAGAGCCATAGGATCATATTTAAAAAACAAAACAAAACCCATCTTTGCAGTTACAAGAAAAAGGGTGGGGGCTGGAGGAAGAAGAGCCCCAGATCTCCCGGGGTGTCGCCTCAGGGCCCCAGCCGGAGCGCCAGGAGACACACACGCATTTTTGCCAAAGCAACAGCTCGCTTCCCGACCGGCCTCCGGCCCCGGAGCCCCGTACCGAGAGGATGCCGCCCCTCCAGCCCCTCCCCAATCCCCCCAATCCCCAATCCCCAGTCCCCAATCCAGCAGTGGTTACAGTTTCCTCCTACCCCTCGGGCCCCGCCACCCCCGGGCACCAAGACGCGCCCCATCTCCTCGGAACCCCCGGAGCCAGGACCAGCTCCCCGTCCACAGCGCCGCCGGGACCGAGGGGACAGCGCCACTCACGCCCGAGGGGTGATCGCACGGTGTCGCCGAGCCCCCCCGACAACCACGATCACCCCTGAGCTGAGCGCCGCTCGGTTCCTCCCCTGCCCCCCCAAGCGGGCCCCGGCGCCCCCGAGGGGCTCCCGGCCGACCCCCGCCTCCCCTCCCCGCGTCCGCGCCACTTACAAATCCGTAGCCCCGGGACTTGCCCGTCTGCCTGTCGGTGATGACCACCGCCTCCTCGATCTCACCGAAAACCTCGAAGTACTTGCGCAGGCTGGCGTCGGTGGTGTGGTAGGGCAGCCCCCCGACGAAGATCTTGGTGTACGTCGTGTCCTTCTGGGTCGTGTGCATCTTCGCGCCCGCCCCGCGGCCCGGGCTCCGGCTGCGGCTGCGGCTGCGGCTGCGGCTGCGCCTCCTCTGCCGGCTCCGCGGCTCCTGCTCCCGCTCGCGGCCGCCGGGGGCCGGGGGCGCGGCCGGGGGCGCGGGCGGCGGCGCGGCGGGGGCGGGCGGCCGGGGGCGGCCGAGGGCGCCGGGCGCGCGGCTGCCGGAGTCGCCAGCAGCCCCGGGGACTGGGCTCGCCGCTCTCCTCCCGCCCCCCCTGCCGGTCACGGTACAAATTCTCCGGATCGTCTGGGTGCGGATCCGGTTCCGTAGAACGTGCCAGCGGCGGTGTCCACTCCCCCGGCGGCGGCGGCGGGGAGGCCACAAATGAAAAGAGGGGGTGGTCCTCCAGCCGGGAACGGGGTGCGTTTAGAGGTAGATGTTTTTTCCTGGCGCAGCGATTAGGTGTCCCGGGCGGGCCGTGGGGAGGGTCGGCGGGCAGAGCGCGGCCGGGGGCGGAGGAGGGTGGGCGCGGCGGGAGGGCCGGGGCGCGGGCGGCTCCGCTCGGCTGCGGGAGACGCTCCGTCCCTGCCGCCGCGGCAGCTGGAAGACAAGTGGCGAGGACGACGCTGCCCGCTCCGCTCCCTCCCCCGCGGGCGGGCCGGGGGTCGGCGCCCGGCTGGGGAGGGGGCGGGCCGGACGCCTGCGATTGGCCGCGGCCGCACCTGGGGCGCCCGGCGCCGCCGCCCCCCAGCTGTTGGGAACAGCTGCTTCTCTCCCGGCGCGGATCAGCGCGGCGCTGGGCCGCCGGACTGGGTCTCTGGAGCCCGAGCCGGGGGTGGGCTGGGGAGGGCTGGATGGAGGCGGCCTTGCTAGCGGGGTGTCCTGCTTTTAACCCGTCCAAGTCCTGGGCACCCTTGGCGGCCTCTGCCCCGCACCCAGGGCGCGCGGGGACTGCGCCCGCGGAGGGAGCTGTGTTGCTTTTCAAAAACGAAAACGCGAGCTCTTTGCGCCTGGTCGGCCTCGTTGACAGAGCCGGCGACCTGGACAGCCTACCCTGGGGGCCCCGAGGCCTGGGGCGGTTCGCTGGGAGGCAATGCCCTCCCTGGCGCGGAGGGCCAGGCAACGCGGGCAACCGTACCCGAGTTGGGTTACCTGCGGTCTGGAGAGTGAGAAGGAGGGCCCCCAACCTTTCTTGACCCCAAAGAGCTGGTGCTGGGGACAACTATGGAGACCAGGCCAGAAAGGAAAAAAAAAAAAAAAAAAAAAAAAAAAAAGGCTAAGCTTAGGTGCTAGGGAGAAAACCATTAGCTTTAATTGCTCAAGGCCTAGCCAAGCTGAGTAACTGTAGACACCTAAGTTTATCAGGTACCACCTTCTATTTCAGAGGATCATACATTAGTACCCCGAAATGACAAATTTGTGTTTCCTCCCTAACTCTTGGGGAAGATTGGTACAGCTTTCTCATCATATTTATTGTCTGTCCTTCCTCTCCCACTCAGCAAAGAATTACTGTATTTCCTTTTATTTGAATTGCTAGAATATTTAGGGACTTTAGCTCAACTTTTTTTTTTTTTTATCAGGATGTAATCGTAAAAGGTGCAATCATTTGAAATCGACTTGTTACATAACCACTGGTTTCTACCAGCAGACCTTTAAAGCATTTGTAGAAAAGATACTATTTAGTGATACATATAATTTTTATATCAGCTTTTTGCAATTTATTTTTATTGAGGGTACATTCAATTAGGCCATAAAAATCATTGTCATATTGAGGTTTGGACAGATATTTAGTGAGAGCAGAATGATTCACCCACCACTGATGGCATACAGGTTTTAAGTAGTTTCCATCAGGAGTCTCCAGTGAAATCCATGTATTAATTGACCCAGGCCACACCACTTATTCTCTTTAAAGCAGTTTAGTATGTTAACTTATGAGAGAGGCGCAAACTTCTGTTTCTCTCCCCAGGGCACCTCTGCAGTCAGCCCAAGAGGATGAGATCTATTGTAAAAGCTAACGGGAATGTAAATATTCTTATACAAAATTCTGCTTTTCATCTTGCTGACTTTGGCGTGAAGTTGGCCTTTTGAGGTATCATCAGGGTTTTTTTTTTTTTTTAAGTTTGAACTCTCAGTAGAAGAGATGGAGAAATAAGAAATCTAAAGTTTTTTTTTTTTGAAAATGTTTTTTTTCCTAATTGAAGAAAAATAAAGCATATACGTATAAGAGCCAGCAAGTGAAATTGTAAAGTCTCTCTTCATTGCTTAACTGAAGTGCAGGTTTAAAAGGAACTGTGTGTGGCCGTATGATGAAAGATAACTTTTAAAAATTAGAAAAACAAGGCCCTGAAACAGAGGAGGCATGTATTTTTTAATATTAACAGCCTTCTTGCAATGTTACTTAAGAATCACTGTACTTAGATGAGGCTCAGGCAAAAACTCTTTTGTGAGGGGAAGCTAGGTGCGCATAGAGAAGCCTTAAAGAGAAGAGTGGCTGTGGCTGTTTCACCGCCCTTTCTGCCTGGATGGGGAGCCCCCCTGGGAGGGGACTGTGATAACATCAAGGAAGGAAGGTGTCTGGGAGTGCAGCCAGCAGCTTGGATGTTCACGAGGTACAGTGGTGAGATCTACAAGGAAATTCTGATCCCAGGTTGGAATCCCTGTGTCTAAAACTCGGCTTCTGGAAATTATTGGGTCGGCAACTAAGTAATTGCGGGTTTCACAATATATGGCTTCAGTTGAATTTTTAGGTTTGCAGACATAGTACAAATGTAAAACACATTTTGTTTTTTGATAGTTGGCTATTCAGCTGTTAATCAGTAAAAAAAGTTTTTTGATCTGTTTTGTAGTTTTCGTTTGGCGTTTGTTGAAAAATGGAAAATCAAAAGGAACATTTTCGTCATATTTTGCTTTTTTATTTCCGCAAAGGGAAAAACGCATCGCAAGCTCATAAAAAGTTATGTGCTGTTTATGGTGACGAAGCCTTAAAAGAACGGCAGTGTCAAAATTGGTTTGCCAAATTTCGTTCTGGTGATTTTTCACTCAAAGATGAAAAACGCTCTGGTCATCCAGTTGAAGTTGATGACGCCCTAATCAAAGCAATAATCAATTCGGACTGTCACAGTACAACACGTGAGATTGCAGAGAAGCTTCATGTATCACATACATGCATTGAAAATCACTTAAAACAACTTGGCTATTTTCAAAAACTCGATACATGGGTTCCTCACGAACTGAAAGAATCACAGTTAACACAACGCATTAGCAGCTGTGATTTGCTAAAGAAACGTAATGAAAATGATCCATTTTTAAAACGACTGATAACTGGCGATGAAAAATGGGTTGTTTACAACAATATCAAGCAGAAAAGATCGTGGAGCAGGCCAGGTGAACCAACTCAAACAACATCAAAAGCTGATATTCATCAAAAGAAGGTTTTGTTATCAGTTTGGTGGGATTACAAAGGAATTGTCTACTTTGAACTCTTACCACCCAACCGAACGATCAATTCTGATGTCTACATTGAACAACTAACAAAATTAAACAATGCAGTTGAAGAAAAGCGGCCTGAATTGACAAATCGAAAAGGTGTTGTATTCCATCATGACAATGCAAGGCCACACACATCTTTGGTCACTCGGCAAAAATTAATGGAGCTTGGTTGGGATGTTTTGCCACATCCACCATATAGTCCTGACCTTGCACCATCTGATTACTTTTTGTTTCGATCTTTACAAAACTCCTTGAATGGTAAAAATTTCAATAATGATGATGATGTCAAATCGTACCCGATTCAGTTTTTTGCTAATAAAAACCAGAAGTTTTTTGAACGTGGGATTATGATGCTGCCTGAAAGATGGCAAAAGGTCATTGATCAAAATGGGCAATACATTACAGAATAAAGTTATTTAGTTCCATGAAAAAATTGTCTTTGATTTTCTTTAAAAAATCCGCAATTACTTAGCTGCCGACCCAATAGATGCTTCCCTGCCATAGTCCCAGAGAGAATGCAGCCACACTGCCCCTGCCCCAGGTAACCCTGACTGGTGTGCGTTTATTCTTTCAATGGAAAAGTCAAAATGTGATAGCTTTCTATGAAACTTTGTTCATTTTGTATAAAATGGTGCCCAGATACCCCTGATTTTGGATTGCAGAGATAATGCAAGCATTGCTAATTATCTGGTGATGTGTTGTTCTTTGAAAACATAAGTTAATAGGAATGGAGGTTCCTTGTTTTCAAAGCCATTTTGAATCCTTCCTTCCTTCCTTCCTTCCTTCCTTCCTTCCTTCCTTCCTTCCTTCCTTCCTTCCTTCCGTATTTATTGGAGGTGACTAGTTATCAAATTCTACAGGTTTTAGGTATACAGTTCTACAATTTACCATCTGTGTATTGTATTGTGTGTTTCCCATCCCAAGTCAAGTCTCCTTCCAAACCAATTTAAATAGAAGCCATAATTCATACCCAGTTCAGCTAGATAAACCATCGAGCGCCCCCCGCAGGCAGGCACCTGCTAGGGCTAGGCACAAAGGTGGTTACAGTCACAGTGGCCACATCCATTCTGGGAGGATTTATGAACTTGAGCCAACAGACCATGTAGCCTTAGAGCCATAAAATCTTTCTGAATTCAAAGTTTCAAGGTTATTAAGTACCAAATATTTCTGTACAATTACCCATTACAAAGTCAGAGTCAGGTTGGAAAAACAATCCTTGGGTAATCCTTTTGCTTTTTCAGCTGCTTTTGGCAGAGAAGAGCACTTGTATGTTAACAAACCTTGTGCAATATGATGTGCGCTTCTTTGGAAAGAAAGAGCCATAAAATACTTTAAAAGTTATAAATAGGTCTTAAGTTTGTCATACCCAAATTAGGACACAGGGATGGCTCTGAATCCGTGGTTCTTATTCCATGGCAAGATCAATATTATTTTATTAGTTACAATAAATTTTTGTCCACTTTGCTCAAAATCATAATCTGACTACTAAGGGCCAGAACCAAATTTAGAGTCTCACACTCATTTATCTATTTTCTTGCTTTCTCTTAAATGGAAATCAACTCCAGGCCCAAGGTGTATGAAGAATTTTTGAGAAAAGAGAGTAACATTTCATGAAATTAGAGAAGCATTACTACTGCTCATGGAGGTGCCTGCTC